TTTTATTTTATTAATAAATAAATATATATAGTATATACAGTTTTTGAGAAAGTAGCAAATTCTTATGATCAAATGAATGATGCTATGAGTTTTGGAATTCATCGTATCTGGAAAGACATATTTATTCAAAGACTTGGACCAACTCATGGGAGTAAATTATTAGATTCAGCTGGTGGTACTGGAGATATTACATTTCGATATTTAAATTATTTGAAAAATACTGTTAATCATCAAGGGTTGAAAAGTTATGTAACAGTTTGTGATATAAATGAAAATATGTTAGAAGTTGGTAAAGTTAGAGCACAAAATCTAGGATGGGTAGGTCAAGATAATATTGATATGGATTGGAAACAATGTGATGCAGAAAAGCTTCCTTTTGAAGATGATTCATATACAGCTTATACAATAGCTTTTGGAATAAGAAATGTAACATATATTGATAAGGTAAATGGTTCTTGCAAAATTCAAATTATTGAATTTTAATGTATTAAATTTATCTTCAAATGAAACGGAATTAGTTGTCATTAGTTTATCATATCCTATGTGAAATCCTAAAGCATAAAGAGATTAAATAACTTAGTGCAAATAGTAATTTTTTTATAAAGAAAAGGGAATATTTGCAGGTACTATCTGAAGCATATCGAGTACTTACTCCAGGTGGACGTTTCATGTGTTTAGAGTTCAGTCATGTAGATAATAATGTTTTAAAATGGTAATTACTTAATCTTAAAATAAAGTACTTTATTTGTCTAGTTCATTTTAATGATTTATATGCTCTGAGTTGTGCAAAGAGCTATATATATGTGTGCATATAATAACTACAAAATAAAATTTATAGGTTCTATGATCAATATTCATTTCAAATAATTCCTGTGCTGGGTACACTCATAGCAGGAGAATGGCAACCTTATCAATACCTTGTTGAGAGTATTAGGAAATTTCCAAAACAAGAAGACTTCAAGGTGAATAATGTGATATCATAATATAATATTGCTTACATTAAAAATGTATTTATGTAAAATTCTATGTAATCACATATCAGATTACACAAGTCTTTTTAACTTTTAAATATTGTTTTAGGAAATCATCGAAAAAACAGGTTTCAGAAATGTTACATATGAAAATTTAACTTGTGGTGTAGTAGCTATTCATTCAGGCTTTAAATTATGATTTAAGTGCATTATATTTAAACCTAAATGAAATAATAAAATAAAGGATAACTTATTTTTTATATATACTAGTTATATTTCGTTCCTTTACATACTGTACTAGGATAATGTACATCATTCAATGCAAAAATTCACTGAATTGTATTAATATTAAATTAAACTGCAATTTAAACATTATTCTTAAGTAAAAATTGTTTCAGTCTTCTGTCTGTTATTTCTTTCTGTTCTTGAGTTAGATCAGTGATTTTAATTACTGTTGGTTTTTTATTTGTATTTAATTCTAATTCCAGAAGGGCATCCAAAGTTTTTATTTTTTCTTCTGCACTACGAAAACCCTAAAACGTTCATATTTTGTTATAATATGCTTTACAACCTTTTATTTTAAACTATTCAAAAGGACATAAATATTTAGAAATGTTTAAAGGACAATATAAAATACCATTCTAAGTTCATGTTCGATTTCTGGATTTTTTTTCAACTTCTTTTTTACTGAAAACTCTTGGACGTTGAAGCCTAATAGATTTTCTAGAACCTGAAATCATAAAAGTTTTAGTTATGTAAAACATATTCAATTATGAATAAACTAAAACTTTATGTTACCTCTAGTGTCCAGAAGAATTGAAATTTATGAATACATTACAATGTACAATTTGAATTTAAATAAATTATGATCAAGTACCTTATTTGAGAAAATAACTTCTAATGTTCCAGTACCATCTACTATTGTAGCTTCTAAAATCCATAATGAATCTTTTTTTGTCAATTTTCCAAGAATTTCAACACGACCTCGAATTGTTCTGAAAGCAGTTTCCGTTACACGTTCATTACTCACATTACGAATAAATTCACAAATTTTTGGTTCTTCACAAGAATTTGTTGCTTTTGTAAATTCTGTAATTTTTCTATCTATTTTACTCTTTTTTAAAGGCATTGTATAAGGAGGAGACATTGGAACCTAAGAAGTTGTATTATTAGACTTAGTTTTTTAACGAAATAACTACTATTAAATAAAACAATGCAGATATAAAATTCAAAAAATTTACATTTCTTTTTCCACAAATTAACAAAGGTTGTTGCTTTCTGTCCATTTTTAAATTTGATATAGCAGTTGATGAATCTGTGTTGCTAATAAACAGTTTAGAATTTGATTGTAAATTTTGTTTTTCTTCTTTCACAATTCTTTTTAAATGATCATATTTCACATTTATAATATCATTTTCTTCATTTATTATAATAATGTCATCACCTCCTTCTTTTGGTAAAGCTCTAAAAGGAGTTGCAATATTTTTCTGCTCCACATGTGATTCAATAAATTGTTGTTCATCAATCTATAATGCAATATTTTCACTTAAAGATTAACTGAACTCAAAAATTTAATCTCTATTAATTAAACTTAAAATTATTTTATCTCTGAAGAAAACAAAGTATTAAAATTACCATTTCTAGAAAGCAATCATCCTCATCAAAGATATTTTCTTCCTTGAAACTTTGAACTTTTTTAATTTCAGTGTTAGTAGTGTGGGGTATACAATCTTCTGTCTTAATTTCTGTTCTAATTATATCTTTATTAGGTTTCTGATTTTTAGTGTGTGACTCTTCAATTTTTGAAACTTCTTCAAGGTTTATTTCAAAATCTTCTTCAAAAAAGCTATTATCTATTTGTGTTTCTTTTTGTTTAATATTATTTGACTTTGTTTGGTTATCATTATAAGGATCAGGATTTTCCTGAAGATTTCTATGAATCGCAAATACATATATGTTTAAGTTATTATTAAGATACTTAAAATTATAGTTTGATATTTAATAACAATTGATTTTATTACATAATTTATCTTGACTTTTCTATTATCTTTATTCAATTTTTAATAGTAATTTTAATCAAACTTACAGAGCTCTAGCTAAACTGTTTTCCAAAGCATTAGAAATTAATAAACTGTCCACTTCACCGCCAACTCCTTTAAGCTTTGTTGCTTCTAATAACAAAACACCTTTACGACATTTTACAGGTCCCATTATCATAACTTTATATCCTGGTAATAACGTATCCTTGAATAGGAAAAAATGACAATATTTTATATCATTATCTTTTTTAGAATATTTTGTAGTTTATGTTTCTACTGCAGAAACGAAGAGAATACATATTACTTTGATTTAATTAAATTTATACATTAAATTAAGTATATAATTACGAGCTAAATAACATTAACATACATTTAATCGAGGTATGTGACTATATTCAATTCCAATTACATCTTGCACTCCATCTGTTAATCGCAGTTGTATCATTCTTTTTTTAGGAAGTTCCCACTTATCTGCCTTTTCAGCTTCAGTTAATTCCACTTCTGAAATATGAGTGTTTCTAATTTCTTCTAATTGTTTATATTTTGATGTTGCAATATCATACATTTGTTCTACCTAAAAAAATTAGGAATTTGTATACATTTTATAAGATAATTGTTTATATACTTATAAACATACCTGAAGAATATAATTTTCAGATAACATAATAAATTTATGTTGTGCAAGATTACAAGGCAAACTTCCATTTTCATTACTAATTTCACGCAAATCACTAAGCTGCCACTGTACCTTCACAAATTGTAAAATTTCTTCTATACTTGGCTGAAAATCAAATTAATTGTAAGAAAATAAATAAATATATAATTTTACTTTATATTTACATTTCCATGTTGATCTACATAGAATTCTACACAATCTCGTAGCCATTCATCATTCATCAAATAATATTCCAATTTTAATGTACTTTTTATTCGTCTCAATGCATCTTCATTCATTTTGGTTTGTTTGACAGTTTTATGTGACTATTTAAATTTATGAAAACTGTCCTTTTTGTACTGATTTTTCAGTTACCAATAGGAATATTAAACATTCTTCAACTAGGAAAATAATTAAATTTTCTTATCGTTAGTTTTTTCTCAGCATACACTACACAATAAATAATAATTTATATGTTTTCTTTACATTGTATAAATAACTTCTTGCTCATATGAATGCATACATACATATATACTAGTATGGGTACATATGGATACATATAGTAGTCAGGATTTGGTAATGATTATAGGGAAATTATTTTAAAGTAAACTTATTTTCAATAACAAAGCAATGCTTTTTCTTTGAATGTTACTTATGAAAGGGCAATACTATTTTTATAATTTAAAAGCACGTATTTTTATAAAATCATATGGATACATATGTGAAAGGTTATGTTTTTAAAATTGTCAAGTGGTGATTTCAAATGTTTTTATCTTATAAAGCAGTGCAATATTTTATTTATTTATGCACTATTAGTATGTATATAAAAAGATATATACAAAAATGATCTTTTTGACATTTTTTAAATTCTACGTAATCAACAATATATGCAATTGTAATTTAAATTAAAATAAGTTATATTGTATGTATATGATAAGA